GCTAGACTGGTCCGCGCGCGCAGGAGAGCAGGAGGCCCGCCCACGGCGCTGGGGCCGCACTCCCGGTGCCCTCCGCGCCGCTCGGTCGCACCTGGGTGGGCCCTGCTGACCCCCGACGCGGCTGGGGCACCTCCCGCAGTGCGTAACGCGGTCACGGAAATGCGTTCGGGGGCACCGTCCGGAATGAACGAGAAACTGATGGCATGTTCGAATTCGGGTGATCCGAGCCCAGCTTATTTATTAGGGGACTAGAGAGACGTGGATGGCTTTAGGGAAACCACGGGAATTCTGCAGGAGCCCTGGCCGGCGATGTCAGTCGGCTCCAAGGAAAGGGGGACGGAGAGGTTCCCGCACCCTGGAAGGAGAAGGCCCTGAAGAGGGCCGCTGTCATCTCTAGTTGAGGGCATCGCCAGCCCAAGGTGACTGGCAGGAAAAGCTCCAAGAACCTGGGCTCTCTGGCCTTTCACCCTCTGATCTGATTCCGCCTCCCATTGGCGGAGCCCATTGCTGCAGTGGGAGGTGGAGAGGGTGGGAGGGAGTGTGGACCAGAGAGGGAGCAGGCACCTCAGGACACAGGCGTGAGCCGGCTACCGGCTACCAAGCCGTGTGGATAGTAGGATCCCAGGTATGTGAACATGTGACTGTGGAAAGGGACCTGTTCACAGTGGCCATCTCCACAGGGGTATAATTGCAAGTGATTTTTTGGTTTTGGTTTTACTTTGTGCTTTCCTGTGCATTCCACATATTTTCACTGATCTATGTAAGTTTTGGAATGATCAAGTATAAACATTTTTACTGAGGTATGATTTATATTCAATAAAATGTACAGTTCAGCCATGGCTGGTGTGGCTCAGTTGGTTGAGCATCGACCTGTGCACCAAAAGGCTGTTGGTTCCATTCCCAGTCAGGCACATACCCAGGCTGGGGGTTCAATCCCCAGTCAGGGTGCATGCAAGAGATAGCCCATCGATGTTTCTCTTTTGCATCTTTTCTCTCTCTCCCTCTCCCTTCCTCTCCCTAAAATCAATAAAAACATGGTTTTTAAACTATTGCTTTTTAATATATATATATAATGTACAGTTCTGTGAGTTTTGACAAATACCCCACTGTAACCTCCACCAGAAGCAACCACTGTTCTCATTTCTATCCTCAGACCTTAGTTTTGCCTGTTCTAGAACTTCATATAAATGGAATCATACATTGTGACCTTTTGTGTATGGCTCTCCGAGCATCATGTTTTCAAGGCTCATCTATGTTGTAGCATGAATCAGTGCCCCTCCTTTATATTGCTGAATAGTATTCTATTAAATGAATATAGCACTTTGTTTATCCATTCTCATAATGGACACTGGAGTCATTTCTAAGTTTTGGTGAAGATGAATAAAGCTGCCCTGAAATTCATGTACAAGTCTTTTTGTGGGCATATGTTTTATTTCTCTTATTTAATTTCTTAGGAGTAAAATTGCTGGGTGATGGGGTAGGTGTATGTTGAACCTTATAAGAAATTGACAGTCTTCCACCATTTTATACTTGCCCCCAGGAGTCTGAGAGTTCCAGTTGCTCCACATCTTTGTCAACACTTGATATTGTCAGTCTTTTTATTGCAGCCACTCTAGTGAATACAAAGTGTTATCTCATTGCAGTTTAATTTGACTTTCCCTGCATTGTTGGTTGAGAGATGCCCTGAGTGCTTGTCTTGAGTCCCGGGCATTTCCAGCCTGCCCTGTGCCCAGCTAAAAATGAGTACCCTCCTGCAGTGGGGGCCACCCTCAGGGAGGAATCACCAGTTCCTCAGTAAGAAGTCACTGGCATTCACAGAAATGGTGAGGGCTGAGGTGATGTGGACAAGGCACCAATGGGGTCTACAGACTGTAGATTTCAGATCCTGTGGTTCGGCCTTTGTAGGGCCCATGGGTTCAGAGAGTCAGAGGTGAGTGCTGGATGAGTTAAAGTGGGTTTCTTGGAGGAGGCAGGCTGTGAAGGGTGAGATATTGAAGAGGAAGAGAGAAAAAGGGAAGGCGTTCATGGAAAGGGCACATCTGGAGCCAGGATTTGACACCAACAAGACCAAACAACCAATAGAGGATGAATTTTCCATTTTCTGATCATAAAGCAAAAAAGTTAACTTTCCACTCCACCCTGGGCTGTGGGAGGCCTGAAGACACATTCACCGCCAGTGCAAGGCCCATGTCCCCAGAGCCAGAGGGTGGCCCTTCTAAGGACAGGGCAAGCCTGTTACCTCACAGCTTCTGCGTCTCTCTGCAATCCCCTGGCTGATGCAATGACCGCCACAGAGAGGATGAAACACTCACTGACAAAGGTGGAGTCTGGACAATAAAGTGGAGAGTGGTGTGGAACGTGCAGCTGCAAACTGAAAGCATTTTATTACTTGGTCTAAAATATTTAGATAATTTGTTTTTCTCTTAGAACTGCCAGCAGTCCATTAATTTTGTTATAGTAATGTGATCATCTTTGCAGTTTCCTCCAGGGGGGCTCTAGAAGTTCTCAATGTGAATAAATTGAAGGCAATTCAAGGGCCAGGAAATGAAAGCCTCAAAGTCAATGGCTGTGCAGAGCTGCTGGGCTCCTGGCACCAGGGAGCCACACAAGGTGAGAAGGAAGGAAGTCCCCGCAAGCCAGGCAGCAGCTCAGGTCTGTAAAGTTGCTATAGGACCTGGGGAAAATCTTTACTCTTTCCTGGACTCAGTTTCCCCATCTGTGAAAGGAGGCCTCCAATTCCCCTTTCAGGTCAGGGGCCCACACTCCTGAGCACCTGCCAGAAGTCAGGCCCTGGGCTTGATAAAGATGATCTCGTTTAAACCGCACAACCCTGAATGCTCTGAGATGAACTCACTGTTCAGGTGAAGAAACTGAGGCCCACAGCAATGAAGTAATTTGCCCAAGGTTGAAGGGTCATAAGTAGTGGAGCTGGGGTTTGCACCCAGCTTCTGCACCATCCTTAGAGCAGAAGGAAGGAGTGTGGAGCTGGGACATGGGAAGGGATAGGGGGTCATCCTGTCCTCTGATCAGGAAACCCAGCACCAGTCTCAGAGTCAGAACCACAGTGGTTTTGTT